AAACATCCCAAAAAATTGAATTCATCACATTCCAATACAAACTATGAGGTCACACCTAAACAGAATGCAAAATCAAGAAATTCATGAACTTTACACTCATGAAAAGCTCTCAAACAACCACCCCGAACCCAAAACCAGAAAAATGAAATCATAATTATCTACAATGCAGAATCAATTCACCAAATTCTCATTCAAAGCTGAAGAATACATGGATAAAAAAAAACAGAATCTAAAACCAAGAAAGCCAAGAACTTTCAACTCAAACGAAAATTCTCAAAAACAATCACGTAGAATCCAGAGGCAGGAAAATGAAATCAGAATTCAGAACTACCAGGAATGCAGAATCAATTCACCAATTTGTTATTCCAAGCTGGGGCATAGATGGGTTACAGAAACAGAATCCAAAACCAAGAAAGTCATGAACTTTAGACTCACATGAAAAGCTCTGAAGCAATCACAGGACGGAACCCAGACTGCAGATCTCAATTAATACACCTGTGACATCTCCCCCCACGCATTGATCACTGAAAAAGGAGACAGGGTCACCTGATGCGTGACCTCCTAGACGGATAACCGACATTGGCATGGGCTCGTCCAGTCGGGCACAACGAGTTCCATACAAGAAAGAGAATCCCCAGCAAATCACAGCTTTCCCGGGAACTAATAAAATATGTTATGCATAGAAATACAAAAAGAGCATACAGAGTTTATTTGTTTAAAAAGGGCTCAAATGAATAGCGTTTAGGGGAAATGACGTGAGGTGGAGGGTGTTCGGAAGTTAGAAGTGAGGACAACTTGGAGGGGTCAGCATTTAGCAAGCGGCGGTACCATCTAACCATGCTCCACACAAACAAATGTAAAAGAATGTCATTATGAGGAATGCTAGCTGCACTCGCCTTTCTCCAGAACTCTCCAACACTCCTTCATCTAAAATAGCCACGTGAACTTTTCTAGTTGGAAACTTTGAATTGAGAGCCAAAGTTTGTTACGTGGACATTTTACATGAGAGAGTGTTGGAGAGTGTTGGAGAGTGCTGGAGAAAGGCGAGTGCAGCTAGCATTTCTCTTGTCATTATTGTCAATTAGGATGTTTAGAGCACTAGGCTAGAGGCCCAATGGCACTTACCGTTGCAAAGTGCATTTCTCTCTTCCGACGAATTTTGAACCCGCTCATGTCCAAAAGTTTAAAGAAAAAAAAAAAAAGGATGTTTAGAAATAGCACCTAGGACTAGCAATTGACTGCTAAATAATATAACTAAATTAGTGGTAATTTTTTTAATTAAAAAAGTTTAGTTATACAAAAATAGTTATTTATTTTAAATTATGAAGTAATAAATATTAATTATTTTATTAATAAGTCCAGTACTTAGCGACTTACTTACTGCCTTTCCTGACTGGATGTACTTAGCACTACCAAAATCTAAATTTTAATCTCAGATCTTCTTTTCTCTTACCTCGAAAAAATTTTCCATTATTCAAAAAAAAATATTTTATTAATAAATAAATATCATTTTATTAATTAAATTTATTGTTTAATTTTTAGGAATAAATACTTAATATAGTTTTATTAGTTTTTTTTTTAATCTTGATTACACAATAAAAATCAACCATCTCACATCTTTTATACCCGCATGTCATGCAACTCAAATTTATGACATTTTAATTTTAAGAAAATAAAATAATTACTGAATTATCTAAATTATTGGTTAATATTGTTTTATTAGTTACTTTCTTTAAATGTACCATATAAAAGTGCTTGAGGTAAGAATGCCTTAATAGTAAATTAAAAAGAAAAAAATCAGACACAACAACTATAATATTTATATGCCCTTAATGTTTATTTATGGACCATAACCATGCCTGTTTCTTAGAAGTTAGAATTGCTGGATTTTGATTTGCCGGTGAAAAAAGAAAGGGGGGGTTGTTGCCTCATGAGTCATGATGGTGCTGTTTGCGTTGTGCTTAAGCTATGGATTTATTAGATTCTCGCGGTTTGGGTATTTATTGACATATTTTTGTGTTAAAGTTTGGGGGGGTCTTTTTTTATTTATTTATTTATCAGAAATATCTCTTCTTTCTTTATATCTTTCCATCTTTGAAAACTGTTTTATTTTGATTATTCTTCTTCATAGTAGTAATTGTCATTTTGCATTTCCCTTTGAAAAATTAAGAATTTTGAAACCGTATGGTTTAAGCTTTCCTATGAAGAAGAATTTGGGAAAGCCACCTGTTATTTTGTAACTGATTTATGATTTAAATTTTTTTAGCATAAAATTGAGATAACAAAATAATTAATTAGAGTCTAATAATATGATGTATTATTGTAATTGTATTACTTTTCATTAAAAAATTTTAAAACACCGAAAAGTAATGTCTAATAATTACTCTATGTGTAAGGCTTGGCATTTTATAAGAGATTCTTTTAATGAAGCTTAGAATCAAATAAGGTCTTAAGAGATCATAAATGTTTAAAATAAAAAAAAATATTTGTCAAAATTATAAAAAGTAATGTTTAATGATTAATTACTTGTACAATATTATTTTACTGAAAAGAAAGTTCTAATAGGTATATATTTATTCAGTTTATTTTGTTTTTGTTTTTGCTTTTTTTATAATGGGATAACTCAATTAATTAAAATCTTTAGAAGGGAAAGGAATAAGAGGAAAAATGATGGTTTGAATCCTAGTTAGTTGTGTAAGGAAGCACTTTATGTTAATAATTTAGTCCATTTTGTTTAATGTTTAATGTTTCTTTAATGTTCAAGATTTAACTATGAAATAAATGCCTAATGTCTTATTGTTGTGCATTGATAATTTGATATATAACGTGGGATATATACTTTTCTTTTCCAGAAATTAGAGGGCTAAATTCGAAAATAACAACTTATTGGGCTTAAATTGAGAACTGGTTCTTAAGTTCAAGGGCCACCATAAGGGTTTATCCTTTGTCATATATTAATATTGAATTTGTATTAAGTACGTATTAAATTTATTTTTTCGTTACAAATTTATATTAAAAAATAAAAATTAATTTTTAATTTATTAATTATTTAATTAAATTCGTTTAATATTAAAAAAGTTTGCAATTTCTTTTTTCTTTTAATGAGGTTGTAAGCAAGTTTTGAACAAAGTAGTAGTTACTTTTTTTGAAATTTGCTTGTAAGCACTTTTAAATACTCAAAAATAGTGCTTCCCCCCAATTTTTTCTTTTCTTTTTCTTTTTCTTTTTTTTTTTTTTTTTTTTTTTTTTTTAAGTTATGAGAGGCTTATATATAAGTTGAAAAATAAACTCTCGTCAAACAGCCTCTTACAAGGGAGGCTTATAAACCAAAGCAACCATGGCCGAAAGAAAAAGGAACAAAAAATGCCACAGAACGAAGTGCACGCTCTTTACCTCTTTAGTACTAGCATATTTTTTTCAAGGTTTAATACCCAATTTGGTCCTTAAACTTTCATTTTAAAACTTAGTTCGTCCTTTAACAAATAAAAGCACCCAAGTTGTCCTTTAACTTCATTTTTCTGGAACCCAAATGGTCCTTCCGTTGAAAGATTGCTAACTTGGCACGTTAAGTGTCCAACAATTACAACTTTTAATTTTTAGATGCCTATGTGGAAAAAA